AATCACCACATGGTTATATTTCATGGCTGAATATTTGCATTTTATTGCTTCACCAAGACAGTGTTAGTAAGCCTAGGGTGAACCACTGAACGAGGTAGAGCTTTTTGCTATCCGGCCAGAATATCCAGTCGGATATGTTTGATATATAAGCTAGGTTTGAGCTTTCAATTCATTTAAGGTAAAACAATGGTTTCAATTGACTATAAAATGGCTCGATTGTTTATACTATTTTGACTCAAACGCATGGATATTTACACTTCATTATGTTGTTTAACAATAGTCAATCTTTTTATTCTAACATTTGCATGCTCTCTGTTTCATGACTGAGTGTCTGGCAGCAGACAAAGTAACATATGACCATATGACTCAGTTCCAGCTGGAACTTTCTTCCAGTTCCGGCCAGATCCAGTTCCAGCCGGAACTTTAAAAAATGGTTTCTGGTGCGCCCCTACAGGTCTAGCCTAGGAAGGCGCTTGATCGTGTGTGCATGCCTATTAACTCATTAAGCCGCAATGCGTCCCAGTGCACCCTACTTTTTTTGCTTGTCTAATGCCAATGGGGAAGCTCTGCACTTTAAGGGGTTAACCAAAAAATCTGACAATGTCTCTAGTTATTATGCACCTATCAATGTTAAGCCCCAGAGGGAGGGGGGTTCTGGCATATGTGGGGTATTTGATTATCAATTCCATCCCCACCCTGGGGATTTTGATTAGCATTTTGGCCCCGAGTTGGGGCAATTTGAACCGAATGACTGTTATTAACATAGTATTTATTGCAATTTATTGCAAGATGGTGGGGGCATTTGACCAATATTTATTGCCCAACAGTGGGGCATTTGATTGGAAATTTGCTAAAAAAATCAAATGCCCCACCTATGCCCAACCCCCCCCCCCTCTGGGGCTTAACATTGATAGGTGCATTAAACCCATTGAGACATAATGTGCCCAGTGCCCCCACTTTTTTTTACTTGTCTAACGCCAGACAATTTCACTCATCAATGGGGAAACATGCATGTTACAGTAAGTTCAGATTGTCAACTAGGCATGTAATAACAATATACGAAGTAGACTCTCGCTTAAGTAGGTGCATAGAAAATAGTGCCTTGAATGCACAGTAGCTGCACTATTGATCAAGTATCTTGGTTTTCATCCAAGCAAGGCCTGATACTAGTTTATATTAGTATATTTTTGTATGTCATCTAGTGTCTTTAATAGTAAATAGTCAACATTAACATCACTATGATATCTATATTTACCTTTATAACTTGAGTCGTTGTTAAGCCAGTTTCTGCTACAGCGCTTTCGATCAATTCGCGATAATTTAGACCAACACCGACCATTCCACGGCCGTAAAACCTTTCTAAAATATCTCTCTGGTTATCGCTTATTCTAGTTCTCTTTCCTATCTCCATTTCATTGCACAGAATCGCAAATAGACTAGAAAATCTGCTAGAAATGTTTTCAAATATGGCAGCTCAAAGCTCGAGAAGAACGTGTGATAGAAAGACGATTGTGATTGGTTTATATATAATGATATGCGAAAGCGTCAGCGTCAAGTAGCGCAGGCGATAGTCTGGCACGGGTAATACCGAATATTCTCAATTGAGAACATATGGGTAATACCCGTTGAGGTGTATGCTAAACGGGTGTTATATTTTCTTCAAGGAATGGACTTTCTGGGATGGATTATGTTAAAATATGTATGAGAACAAAATAGTCGTTTCCTTTAAAAATAGTAGTTTCCTTTAAAAATAGTAGTAAATTTGTGTACTCACACATCACCGGCAGTGGAATAAGTTCGTTCTTGTATCGCTTCAATCGATAGCCATCGGAATGGAATTTTCCCGTTAGATTTTTTTATGTATGTTCCCTCGCGTGACAAGCCAAAATCTGATATTTTTAAAACTTTGTCTTCACCAAGTAGTATGTTCCTTGCTGCCAAATCACGGTGAACAATACTAAGTCCTGAAACATGTTTCTAAAATGAAAATATAAATGATATATTATTTCCCGACTTTGGTTAGTTGACTGACTTGAATGCAGTTAAATGCGGGGTACTGCACTAATAGTCTCGGACCATTACGTACAACAAGCATGATGACATTGTTTCAGGAAATTTGTTACAGTTCAGTATTTTGCGTGTACGAAATCTGGTTAGGCAGCTAAGATAAAAACATAGTAAGATACAGGTTTAAACATAAAAATAATTATATATAATATTGTAAACAATTTACCATTCCAGTAGCAATTTGACGAGCAAACGATTCCAATTCTTTGGGATCCAAAGCAACACGAATTTCCTCGTTTATTCTCGAGGCAATCTCGAAATTTAAATCTAAAATATAATATAATTTGACATGGAATTTACGTGAAGCGCCGTTCATTGTATCAGCTGTACGTTTAAAATGTTGATAAAAATTTTAACATTTATTATTTACAACGCAGATCTATGGCTAGTTTATTGATTACTTTATTTTGAAAGAGGAATTTTTTTTTGTTTGTTCGCATATTTTTTCTCAAAAACAAATAATGAATAAAAACATTGTCACATGCTGTTAAACATAATTTAAAACCGGTATGAAATTAATGCACGGGGTACAGTATCATACATTATTATGATAGTTGTGTGTAACTATCAATTTTTTCTACAAATTAACCCTGTCACGAGAAGCATAACTACAGCTGCAAATATTACCGGTGGGAGAACTTAATATTCTTTTCTACCCAAAAAATTAAAATCAACAAATTTACCCAGTCAAGTCAGATCTTGTAGAATCTTGCTCAAATTGCAGAAAATGCCTTTTCATAAAAATGTCAAATTTTTGAGAAATAGCGAAAAATATATATCGAAATTCTTTGGAGGAGCATGGCCAAACCAAACAGATCTTCCTCCGCAAAGACTGGAAAGATATACGTACATGTATATTTATGCCTTGCCTAAATTTTCCGTATTATTTTAATTTGCAATTGCTGTCGTAATTACCTTCAGCTTGTTTTATTCCTGTTTCTTCCAACCTGTACTGTTCACTTGCATTAACAAGAGTTGAAGATGTTGAATCTTTTGGCATTTCACCTGCCCCAATAAATTTCTGATATCCCCCCTGAAATATTTTCAAGTCGGTATATGTCAATTCAATTGTAATCTATGTAAGTGCAAAGAACTAATAAAGAGACCTGCATTCTATAAATATTAAAATATATATGAATACATATATTTGTTTTCTCAGGTGCACTTAAGGTGGCTCGATACAGTTTTCAAAAATTCAGGTGTTTAACACTTTGACATGTTCAAACTATGCATTTTTAGTATTTATTCAGCAGATATTGGGTTTTTATATATTTTGATAACTCTACTTTAAAATTATAATAGTTTTAGCAACAGATACTTTGTTGCTATGACGACATACGCGTACGAAATTCACTCCAAAATGGCCTATCGTCTCGTATAGTTGAAAAAAGCATGGTGACCCCAATTTTTTTTCGTGCATTATTTTACTTGGACGAAAAGCTAACAATTAGCAAAATATAAAAAATTCTGTAACGCTATTTTTCTGGAAAATGCGAAAATGTCATATTCTTCGGTAAAATTTTTTTGGCATTACAGAATTTTTTTAATTTTTTGTATAATGAAAGTTTTTAGCGGTGCAATACCGCATGCAAAATTTTAACATAGGTCACCAGACAAAATAAAGAGATATAGCGCATTGTTAGTCTAAAATGGAAAATTCTAATGTCGTCAGCAATTGACATAAAACGCTATATATACGTCGGGTCATTTTGGAAGTTCTTTCATTTTGTTAATCAGTTTACGCGACTTGCGCGTAAAAATGGTCACCCGGTTCTGAGTTCGCGATTCTTGAGCAGGGTTTTTGTGATAACTACATATAGCCACCTTAATTGTTAATTAAAATAACAAAAAATTGTGTTATTGTAACTAATTTTTCGATTGTTTTAACCATTAATAATATTAATTATTATTTATATTAATATTAATTATTTTATCTTTACCAATCAGTTTTTACAGTGTGGCAAGCGCTGAAACAAATGAAATTTTGATTTAAGTTTTCGCTTCTCACATGCAGTTAAAGACTTATATTTTAATAAATTGTTGTGCCATTCAAATGAGTGTCGAGTACATGATTTATTTCACATGTGTTTCATTCATACATATTAAACATATGAATTTGCTCCTGCATAACTTTCTCATGTATATATCAATTATAGTAATTTTTTCAATGCTTTAATCTGAGTATCAATCTTTCGGAGTGGAAAAGAAACCATGAGACAAAAGTCGGTTTTGAGCTCTGCGCATGCACCCCTTAATTGCCACACGTTCCTATTACAATGGCAGCCAGTCAGATTTATTTCCTCCGCACAAGCACTGCATTTAGTATACTGTTAGTCAACCAGCGTAACATCCAGATCCTGGACGTTACGTTGAGGAAATCATCAACTTATATCAGGCCATTTTCTCAAAGCCGATAGCCTGGCACTCAAACTAAAAACTTCTTGACGTTAAAGGCACTTTAAGCCAAAATTTATGTATCAGTCAATTCCAGGAGTAACCTCCCCCCCCGGGAACACACCCGGGCATTTGATTTGATTGGGTACGACAGTGTAAATGCCCAGGTGCCGGGACACAACTAAGAGACTTAGTGCACGGCCCTTGGGCAAGCTGAGAGTGGAAAATGCCCCACCCCGGGGACGACTTTAAAAACGTTAATTAAACTTTTAAAGGCATATAATAGCATAGTCATTTAATAACATTATAGCATTAAATTGCTATCGAATATTATAAAACTTTAATATAAACTTGAATCTTGCTAAGAGTGGTTAAAAGTATTTAAACAATGAAATCATAAACCTTTACCGTCGATGATTGAGAAGTGTTGATAAAATATTGCACCAATTCCTTTCCTCAAGTAGATCAATTCATTCGATAGAAAATTGATCAACTTCCCGTTACTTCTAGATGGGCCAATTAGATTTCGTTTCAGAACCGATTGACCAATAGGAAACGCACGAGAAGTAAAAAGAAATTTGAATTCGTATGAGTTGATCAACTTGAGGAAATGAATTGATGCAATATTTTATCAACACTTCTATTGCATCGACAGTAATAGTTGTATTTATTAAAATTTGCATGGCACAGGTTATAATTTTCGCTTATTCTGACAATAATTTTTGACTTTCATTATTGACTCGTGCATTAAACCGGAATATTTTAAACTATATAATTTAACAGGGACGCCGGAACGATCATAAGGCAAAGGGGGGCGGACCCACACCAAGGGCACCTCCCTAAAGCAAAACTTCAAAATCGTCCGCAAAATTTTTTTTAACTTGAAAAATTTCAGCGACTCCCCCCCCCCCAAAAAAAATTTCCGGTCAGTGTACCATTTTAGGGGTCAAAAATTTTTTCCGGACGTACCAAAAGTCAATTATAAACTATAATCTCATGATTTTCGTACAAAAAGCATTGTTGTAAATGTGATTTATCACGTATTTTTTTATAACTAAAGGGCACTTCTGCCCCCCCTGCCCCCCCTAGCAAAAGGCAAGGGGGGCAGCCGCCCCCCCTGCCCCCCAGTTCCGGCGTCCCTGTATATAAATTAAAGGAAAATTAGAATTAGTGCATTTTGTTGACAAAATATCATACCTTGCCAGATTTTATGGCTTCATTCGTCTGCGCGCTTGCAATATCTTTACACTTTAAGAAAAAATATATGATAGTATAATAAGTATATAAATTTAAACATGATGTATTTTTTGTTCTTCAAAAAGCCGATAACGCATTGAAGGAACATTCTTGTCCCCAGGAATAATGAATAAAGGAATGAACAAATTTAAACAAATACATTTTAAATGTAAGTATGCAACTAACTACACCACATCTCTGGTGAGACCAGTTAATCGGGTCACTATAGCAAAACAACATTTTCAAATGGTCTCTTAAACTACGTGAAACTGCACCTACTTTTGTGAAAATCAATATGAAGAACTTCTAATTATTTTATAAAGAACACAAAAATTTCGGAAAACTAATCTCCCAAGTGCAACGGGAAGTTCTTACTAACCACCTTTAAAATGGTTTACGCACGAAAATGGAAGGTTCCGCATTGCACCCATTACTGGCACTTTGATAGGTAATTACCTTCTTTTTAAGAGACCTCAGATAATTTTTCAAATTTCCACCCGGCGCGTATTCCAGGACTAAACATATTGGACGACATCTTATGCAGCAACCAAACATCTGAATGACATTTTCATGTTTTCCAAGGTCCTTCATCAACTCAATTTCACGTAGGATATCACTAAGTTCTTCTTCATTGGCCGATTCTATATAACATTTGTTCAATTTATCGAGATTAGCTGATAACTCAAAAGCCGATCGATACCTGAATGACAACATATATTAGTGCAGACATTGCAAATGTACGTGTAGGCACATTTTTGTCATTTACGATTCGGAATATATAGAAATTATTGTGGTCATATACTGACGAATGTTGACGAAATATTGCTGACATATTGACGAATGTTTGGAAACTACTTCCATTATTTAATTCATTTTATTCATGTGGAAACATGATAATTTTTTATTGATAGCTCTCGATGCAATCACCTGGATTTTCATCTAATGACCAAGAAATGATTAGTGTATTGATGTTGATTAATTTATAGCAACCATATAGGTATACCAGGAAAACGTTTTTGCTCTCTTACATTATTTACTCGAGAGTTGGCGTCATCTGTCAACAATGCAAAGTCTAAACGTTCTTTTGTGCATGCGCGCGATAGCTATCATCAATCGGGGCGCTATAAAACACGGGCGGGGAAACGCGCTAATAAGGGGCGGACCATTTGACTTTTTAGGGGGGGGGGGGGGGGAAGATTTCGAAAAAACCCAAGCAACCCAAGTAGAAAGAAAAAAAAATAATGCCACATACAATCGAGAAAAAAAATATCATGCAAACGAGAGCGCTCAAAAAAAAAATTTCTACATGTAACTATACTGATGCTCTTCACTTCAGTATTGTGTCCACAGCCCAAGTAGAAAGAAAAAAAAA